GGCGGCGGGCAGCAGCCCGCGCAGGGGGCACTTGGGGCGAGCCGGCCTTCCTGTACGCCCGCTGAACGAACGGCGTCGGCTTTCCTATCGCCCAGTTGGATTTACGTCCCCCCGAGACACCGCCGCACCCCTGCAGCGCCAGCGCATCCCTTCTAGCCAGTCCCGTCAGCAAGGGTGTTAATTAGATTAATTACAGACCAGCGTCCCGGTGGCTGGAGACCAAGAGAGCAGCTGGAGGTTTTACAACTGACAGGGCTGCACAAACGCTTCTTGCCACAGCCAGTTCTCTGAATTCTTCCCTCCCTCAGGGCAAATGAAAGTTAATAAACTCTCATTCCACGCCGAACGTGAAACAAAAACACACTTCAACTTCCCGCTTCTCTTAAGAGTAGCTACAGGCTCGTCCTTTAATGAATCACAACCAAACATCAAAGAGGAACAACATTCAAAACCTGTTAAAAACTAAGCTCAGGGCTTTAAAAAAAAGGGGCAGCTCAAAAATCTGCACTTCAGTGGGCTGATGCAATTCCTGCCCCTCCAACACAGTCATTCCGTGCCTCCACCTCAACAGGGTGAGGGTTTGAAAACCGATTTCCATGATCCTACGTACAGCAGGAAACCGATCCTCACCTGTGCGAGAGGCGACGTAACGCACCGCGATCTGAAGGTCGGGCAGCGCTCCGGAAAGACCGAGGGGGAACTCCTGGGAAACCTAGCGAGCACGAAGGAAGCTCTCAACCGGCCATCAGGAAGCGCGAGCACCTCGCGGCTTCGGGTGCTGGGGACTGGACAGCCACTGCTGTTCAAAAACCACGTGGGGTACAGCATGACAGCACCACTGTGATTTAGTCCCAGAATGCCAGAACTTGGAAGTCTGAGTGGACACATGTACTACAGAGATCCCAGGAATTCCTGTTCACTGCTGCAGTACCAGTCAAGTGTCAGGTATCCACGAAATGATGCTAACTACTCAAATCTGACAAGATTCTTTCAAAACAGCACCAAAGACATCATGTTTTTACAGTTATGTGCCATTACCAATTATATCAAAACATGCAGTAACGTTGGAAACCAAAGGCAATCTCCCACTTTCACTGCTCCGAACCATTCTGTACACGGCCTAAAACCAGAGCGAAGGCAGGGCTCAGATAGCGTTCGTGCTTCACAGCGCACTCGCCGTCTCTGGGAGATGGCAGCATCTTATTTTGGTTATCTGGGCAAGCAAAGTAGGGACAGGTATCCTACAGCTCCACATGATCAGTTCTACAGCATTTCAGCTACGCCGCCAAAGAAAACAGCTCATCCTTCTGGGCTCACACCTTGAGGCCACTCAAAGGAAAGCTTTCCTTAAGGTGTTGCAAAGTCACTGAAGTGGCCAGAATATTTAATAGCCAAAAATAAAGTACTACAAAGGCATATCCTAGAGGTTTTATTGTTTGAGCAGCAAAGTATGCTTAGTATAGAAATCCATGTTTATTTGGAACAAAAAAACCAAACCACCTGTAAATGACACTTCCCAATATAAATGAAATCTGCTTACAGCGTTTTGGCGGCCGAAGCAGCCGGGACTTGACTGCTAATTGGTAATTTGCCAGTATAATCTTCAATGGGATCTAACCTGCTAGTGTAACGCTAATGGGATCTAACCCGCTAGTAGGATGCGAAACGGGATCGGGGTGTCACTTATATGGTGTTACAAAAACATCCCATAAAGAGAGTCAACCAACTATTTTCTCTCCTAGTATGAACAACAGTGAACATTATGAGCAACAGGCCTGAAACAAGACAGTTCAACTTTCTGTTTTTAAACAACTTTAAACCATTCAAGTCTTATGGTCCCTATATACAAACTTCTACGTGGCTAAAAAACAGACAGGGTAGACAAGTGAGCACACTGCCATCAGATTTTAAGAATTACAAAACTGTCAGGTTTTAAACAGCAAACTGTACCTCAAGTCATTAAAAATAGAAGAGTTAGGTAGACTACTCTGCGAATAAACCAGCACACTAGTGTGCCGTGTGTTAAGGCATACCTCGAAATGCGCACCTGTCATCTCTAACAAGTTTCATACAGTTGCTACCAAGTGGAAGGACTATCATTGTCTTGCAAAACTGAGAAAGAAATACAAAATACCTGGAAGCCTACGTTTTTAAAGTACAAAATTAACCTTCCGGCCTCGTGTTGAAATACTATACACAGTACAAAGAGTGGTTCTCCCCTACAAGATCTCACGAGGATTTCTTAAAGCTGGTGGTAAATTGAAAGGTTTCGAGTCTTCATCCAGAAGTACCAAATCTTCGATTTCGCGACCTTTGTATTTTCTTTTACAGATCTTCACAATAACTTTCTTCTTGAGGAATAATTTCAAAGCTTCTCTCGAAGCAACCGCTTTGGCATTTTCCATACTTTTACCACAGCCAGTACCCAGGTAGACAGACTTGCACCTCAGTTCACAAACTATATTTTCTAGAGAGCTCTTATTTTGAGGCAAGTCCGCAAGCTCCTTCAGGGGAACAAAAGCAACATCTAACGTAGCTTTCACAGACTGAATAGATGAGTTTAGGAGTTCTGCGTGGTTTACATTAGGGCTGAAGCCTCCGACAGCAACCAATTTCCAGGCTACAGCTTTGTAGAGTCTGTTGAAAAAAGGCTGTCTTTCCTTTGCATCTTCACTGGTTAAGGGTTTGCACAAAGCCTTTC